TCAAAACCGGTTGAAGAAGAAAAACCAAAACCAGTGGAAGAAGAAAAGCCGAAACCAGTGGAAGAAGAAAAACCTAAACCAGTGGAAGAGGAGAAACCTAAACCAATTGAAGAAGAGAAACCAAAACCGGTTGAAGAAGAAAAACCTACACCGGTTGAAGAAGAGAAACCTAAACCGGTTGAAGAAGAAAAACCAAAACCAGTGGAAGAAGAAAAACCAAAACCGGTCGAAGAAGAAAAACCGAAACCAGTGGAAGAAGAAAAACCTAAACCAATTGAAGAAGAGAAACCAAAACCGACTGAAGAAGAAAAACCAACACCTGTTGAAGAAGAGAAACTAAAACCGATTGAAGAACAGAAACCTCAACCGGTAGAAGAGCAACCAAAACTTGTGGAAGCAGAGAAATCTATACAGGTAGAGGAAGAGCAGCCAAAACCAACCGAAGAAGAGAGACCTAAACCGGTGGAACAAGAGAAACCTCAACGGGTAGAAGAAGAGAAATCTCAACCAGTAGAAGAGCAACCAAAATCTGCCGAAGAAGAGAAGTCTCGGCCGGTAGAACAAGAGAAACCTAAGCCAGTCGAGGAGCAACTAACATCTGTGGAAGAAGAAAAGCCAAAACCAGTAGAAGAGAGACCGAAACCAGTGGGAGAAGAGAAACCCCAACCGGTAGAAGAACAGCCAAAAAGAGTCGAAGAAGAGATACCTAAACGAGTAGAGAAGGAACCACAACCGGCGGAAGAAGAAAAACCTCAACCAATAGAAGAAGTAAAAGCACAGCCGGTTGAAGAAGAGCAACCGAAACCAGTCGAAGAAGAGAAACTTCAGCCAGTAGAAGAAGAACAACCCAAACCAGCCGAAGAAGAGAAACCTAAACCGGTACAGGAGGAACCAAAACCTGCGCAGGAGGAGAAACCTAAGCCGGTAGAAGAGCAACTGAAAGTTGTGAAGGAAGAGAAGCCTCGGCCAACAGAGCCGGAAAAACCTAAACCGATAGAGGAACAGCCAAAACCTGTGGAAGAAGAAAAACTGAAGCCAGTCGAAGAAGAAAAGCCGAAACCGGTGGAAGAAGAGAAACCCCAACCGGTAGAAGCAGAGCAACCTAAAGTAGCAATGGAGGAGAAACTGCAGCGCGTAGAAGAACCGCAGCCGAAAACGGTTGAAGAAGAAAGACCTCAAGTAACTACACATACAGAATCTAAAGAAACATTTTAGCAAAGAGAGCAAACGCAGCGGGAGAATGGAAAAACACTTAAAAGAAGTATGAAGCTTTTGAGATGAGACTGCCAGAAAAAGGAATAAAGAGATAGCGAATGAAAAATGGTGAATTGAATATAACTTACCTCATAAAATTGTTCTTCTAGCCGACTGAATTAGAAAAACCAAAGGAAGAGACCCGAACGGAGCCTGTGGAAGAAGAGAAAGTCGATATTCCGTCAACGGAAGAATCTAGACTTGTCGAAGTTAAAAAACCAGTAGAACAGGAAAAAAGAGAACTAGTGTCAACAGAAGAACAGGTAAGTTGGTAATGAAAAACGCAATGTACCACTTCGGCGTTTTCCTTTTAGCTCAGAGAAACTGTCGAACAAGAAATTCCTGTCCATGAAGTCGAAGAGGATACAACTGTGACTCTCACTGTGGATACACCTATACGTGACATCCGTCTTCTCAAAGATAATAAGGAATTAAAACCCTCAGAACATATCAAAATTGTGCAAACATCACGAACAACAACCGAAATTCAAATTATTAAAGCTAAACCTAAAGATGAAGGAAAATATAGCGTTGTGATTGATAAAAAAGAACAACCATTAGTGTTACTCAAAGTAATTCCAAAACCAATCACTCATCAAACAATGGATATACCTCAAACAACTTTCGAGGAAGGAGAAACATTGACTATCAAATGTCAATTTGATTCTCTACCAGAAGAAACATTTGAATTTCTACGAAATGGAAAACCTCTGAAACCTAACGATCGAATTTCAACCATTGTTGAAGATAATACATATACAATTGTAGTAAAACATCTTCGTCCGAAAGAAGATGAAGGCGTTTATACACTTAAATCTAATCATTTGATTCTTGACACGCCATCGATTACAGTTATAGCCAAACCTAAACAGCCCGAAAAAATCGAAACACAAGAAATAGTCGAGTTGCGCGAAGCAGCACCTACTGAAGAAAAGAAAGAACAAATTGTGAGTGCATACAAAATAAAATTTCGAATTCTTTCTTCACCATTAGCAGTACTATCCGAGCGTCTATAACGGATTTTTCTCTTTAGCCACAACCTGTCGGACAACCGAAGCCCGAAGAGATTCCTCAACCACAAGAAACAACTACAACTGAGGTACAAGAACAGCAAGAGGAAATAACGTTTGTTACAGAACAACCAAAAGTAAGATATTGCCAATGTCATTAGAAAACATGTTTTCTTTTCTAAACACCAATTTCAGCTTCCAACAAAGAAGACAGTGACTGAGTTACCTGTACATGAAGTCGAAGAAACTAGTACTGTAACATTAACTGTTGAACAACCTAAAACTACAAAACCAGAAGATGTAGTCTTACTTAAAGATGGAAAAGAACTAAAACCTTCAGAACATGTGAAAATTACTCCAACATCACCAACTACAACTGAAGTTCAAATCACCAAAGTTAAACCCGAAGATGAAGGTGATTATACAGTTAAAGTCAAAGATGTTGAACAACC